TGAGAAGAGAAGACTCCCTGGAAAAGACCCTGATGTTGGGAAAGATGGAGGGCGCAAGGAGAAGGGGACGATGGAGGACGAGATGGTGGGACAGTGTTCTCGAAGCTACCAGCATGAGTTGGACCAAACTGCAGGAGGAAGTGGAAGACAGGAGGGCCTGGCGTGCTGTGGTCCAGGGGGTCACGAAGAGTCGGACACGACTAAACGACTAAACAACAAATCCCATGGAATATGTTTCCGAGCACAATTCAAAGTGTTGGTGCTGACCTTTAAAGCCCTAAATGGCCTTGGTCCAGTATACCTGAAAGAAGGGTCTCCACCCCCATCGTTCTACCCGGACACTGAGGTCCAGCTCCGAGGGCCTTCTGGCGGTTCCCTCACTGCGAGAAGCTAAGTTACAGGGAACCAGGCAGAGGGCCTTCTCGGTGGTGGCACCCGCCCTGTGGAACACCCTCCCACCAGATGTCAAAGAGAACAACAACTACCAGACTTTTAGAAGACATCTGAAGGCAGCCCTGGTTAGGGAAGCTTTTAATGTTTGATGTATCACAGTATTTTAATACTCTTTTGGAAGCCGCCCAGAGTGGCTGGGGAAACCCAGCCAGATGGGCGGGGTATAAATAATAAATTATTATTATTATTATTATTATTATTATTATTATTATTATTAGATGGAGCAAGCTTGTTTTCTCCTGGAGGGTAGGATTTGAACCCATGAGATTGTTGAGATTTTTGGAGTGGGGATTCTGTCCCAAAAAGGGAAAGAGGGATACTCAAACACACAGTTCCTGGTTCTATGGGCAACAACTTGGACATTTTGAGGGAACTGGGTATGCTTAGTCTGGAAAAGCGGAGACGAGATGGTCGTTCTCCAACATCTGAACGGCCGTCTCATGGAAGACGGGGCAAGCTCGTTTTCTGCTGCGAACCCTTGGCTCCACCAATTGGGGACCGTTGAAACAGCCGCAACCGACTACATCACCGCCGCTGCCAAATCTCTAGAAGGAGCCTTCCGTAAGGACATTCATTCATAAACGGTTCCCAGAAAGCACATGTCTCCAGAATGGCTGACAAGCCTGGCCCTATCGGACACCTCTGATTTATAGATTTGTGCTGATGACTACCATTAACCTTTTATTCCCTCCCTTTTTTTTGCAGACTCGGTCCTCACCAGCTTCTACAAACCCTCAAGCGATGAGATTTCTGGAAGGATGTCCCTTAGGAATCCTGCCTCGGTGTTTAGATGACCTGCTTTTAAGCTGATTTTGTTTTTAAACAAAGGATTGCTTTTAAACGCTCCTTTTCCCCATAATCTTATTGATTCATCCTTTCCGTTGAACCGCGCTGAGGATTTTCTTTACGCCCAAGTCGTGTACAAATCTGGCGAAATAATAATAACAATATTTTTTTATTTATACCCCGCCCTCCCCAGCCAAGACCGGGCTCAGGGCGGCTAACAACCAATAATAAAAACAAGTTGGTTAAAATACAATTTAAAAAGATTAAAATACAACATTAAAACATTAGGATGCAGTCTCTGTAAGTAGTAAAAGTGTCAAATTCCCATGGCTTGCCTCTCCACCAAACCACACACACACCCTGCCCTGTATTCATTTAACCCGGAATGCCAACTGCTCAAAACCGCAGAAGGGGACAGGGCTTCTGTGCTCAAATAACTTCTGTTCCCACCAGAACAGCCCTTTATTAAGCCAGTCCATGAGAGCTAGAATCCTGATCTACCTTTTGGAAGGAGGAGAGCAGCTGAGTGGCAGAGGACCCGCTTGCCCCAACTTTGGCCCCTGATCCGTCTCCCGGTTAGGGCTCTGGCGACAGGCTCCGGCCTGAAACCCAAGCGTGTCGACATGGCTGGATGGCCTAGTGGTCTGACATGGTTTAAAGGAGCTGCCTAGGACTGGTCAGCAGTTCAAATCCCCGCAATGACGGGGTGAGCTCCCATTGCTCGGTCCCTGCTCCTGCCAACCTAGCAGTACGAAAGCACGTCAAAGTGCAAGTAGATAAATAGGTACCGCTCTGGCGGGAAGGTAAACGGTGTTTCCGTGCACTGCTCTGGTTCGCCAGAAGCGGCTTAGTCCTGCTGGCCACATGACCCAGAAGCTGGACACCGGCTCCCTCGGCCAGTAAAGCGAGATGAGCGCCGCAACCCCAGAGTCGGCCACGACTGGACCTAGTGGTCAGGGGTCCCTTTACCTTTACCCTTTATTTATTTATTATCACAGGGCCTGTTATTTCGACACTGTTATTTCGATTTCATATAACACTCTTTTACCATAATTAAACTTTTTCTTAATATATCTTCTTATATCTGCCTTGCAACTATTACTGAAGTTCCTCGAATGCTGCAACCGAGTTCAAACTACTATATTTATATTCTAAATATTCTTTGAAAACCTCCCATTTTGAAACAAATCCTTGTTTTGATTTATTCTTTATTTTTTCTGATAAACCATCTAATTTTGCATGTTTTGTCAGCTTTTGAACCCAATCTTGTATAGAGGGAATTTCATTACTCTTCCAGAATTATTTCTTCTTTTAAATGAGCTGCAACTTAAGACACACTCACACACCACAGCCTGTGATAGTATTTGCTATCGAGCTACAAAGCTTTCAGCCGAATGGGAGATACACAGCTTTGCAGGCCCTCCAAGTGCCCCTATTTCCCAGGATTTACAGAAACAGTCCCGGTTCCGGATTTGAACCCGCTTTTCCTTAAGGACGTCCCTATTTTCATTAGGGAAATGTTGGAGGGTATGGAGTTATCCAACCCCGCCCCCCAGAGCCGTCCAAATACAGCCCTGTATAGGCAACTTTTAAAATGTTTAATATTAATAATCAGATTTTTTTTTATACCCCGCCCATCTGGCTGGGCTTCCCCAGCCACTCTGGGCGGCTTTCAACAAATTAAAATACAGTGATGCATCAAACATTAAAAGCTTCCCTAAACAGGGCTGCCTTCAGATGTCTTCTAATGTTTTGTTATTACATATATGAATCTATTGGAGTGGCTGGGACAACCCAGGCAGATGAGTTGAGGGTATAAGTAGTAACATTATTGTGGAATAGGATAATAATAAATGAAGTGAGCTTACAGGGAACCAGGCAGAGGGCCTTCTCGGTGGTGGCACCCGCCCTGTGGAACACCATCCCGTCAGATGTGAAGGAAATAAACAACTATCTGACTTTTAGAAGACATCTGAAGGCGGCCCTGTTTAGGGAAGCTTTTAATGTTTAACAGCCTACTGTATTTTAATGCTTTGTTGGAAGCCGCCCAGAGTGGCTGGGCAAACCCAGCCAGATGGGTGGGGTATAAATAATAATAATAATTATTATTATTATTATTGGAAGTTTTTAATGTTTGATGTTTTATTGTGCTTTTAATATTCTGTTGGGAGCTGTCCAGAGTGGCTGGGGAAACCCAGCCAGAAAGGCGGGGGGGGGGTATAAATAATATATTATTAATAATAATAATAATAATAATAATAATAATTATTTATGTGGGAACCAATGGGAGAATGGAAAGGGGTCGGGGAGACCTCCACACACACTCCTAAGGGTCATCTATTCCAATTCTCTGCAATGCAGGAATATGCAGCTGTCTCATTCAGGGAATCGAACCTGCAACCTTTGGCTTTTATCAGCACCACGCTCTTACCAACAGAGCTGCCCAGGCTCCATTGACCATGCTGGTTGCTGGGAGATATAGTTTAACAACCACTGGGGAGGGGGTGGCAGATGTTCCCCATCCGTGTTTCACAGAACTTTAAAAAAACACACCCCAAAAACCAGATTAAGAACAAGAACTTCTCAATATAGATACAGGCTCGCAGGACGCTTGCCTTACGCCGAGTCCATCTAGCTCCGTATTTCCAACACTGACTCACAGCAGCTGACTAGCACTGACTGGCGGCAGATCCACAGCCTTTCCCCGGATAGGCAGAGATCCAGCTAAACCCGACTCAGCGAAGACCCGCCAACGCCAGCCAGTTTCAGAGTAGACCCATCCATGGGCATGGATCTTCCTTACTCCTATCCATTTCAGCGGGCCTACTCTGAACACAACCTAGTTAGGAGCTCCCCAGTGGATCTGATCCACAACAGCCAGGATCGGACGCAGCCCCTTTGGCCGTACAGAAATATATTTAAAAACCTTCCCAGGTGTAGGCATGCACAGAGATAATACGGTAGCTTTTTAAATCCTTTTAACCGCACTGCCTTTTACGCACGCAAGGGAGAAAAGGGAAAACGTTGAAAATTAGCGATGGGGTGCAAGCGACCGACCCCGGATCTCCGATATTTCCATTTAAATGGTAATAACGGGAACGTGTGGGATAGGTGCGAAATGCACACCTTCCCCCCACGCCAGCCGGGGGAGGATTAATTCGGCGCCTCAATTATCAGAGGGGGGGAGGAACCATCTGGAGGGATGAAATGGAAGGAAAATGAGAGAATTAGCCCTGATCCTTCTTCAGATCAGCTTTCCTCGTAAAACCGAAGCGAGGAGATTGTCCGGGTTGGAGGAGCGCATCTCTCAGCAGCCACACACACACAGAGATGTACCACACCCTCGGCTCCGCCACACACACCTCCCATTCATGAAAAATGCCTGCCTTTTAAATATGCCCCGGAGACGAGGTTCCCCTCTTCCACCGACACACCGAGGAGCGCCCGTAACCGCAAAACGCATTCGCTATATATCCCTCCACACAAATATCCCTGGATACAACAGCAGAATACGCACCGCATCACACCAGAAGAATACATCTCCCCACCCCCACCCACCCAAAACCCACCCCCACCAACCGCCCCATCTTTTTGCTGTCAAATCGCCACCCCCCCCCCCGCCTTCGTTTTCGCAGAGGCACGAGAATCCAATTTCTAACCTGGATCACACCGACATTAAAACCCACATTTAAAATAATCATTTGGAGAGATAAAATGGGAACAGACTCTCATTTTGGGGTTTTCTTTTAAAGGCACATTACCTCCAACACAAAGCAAAGACATGGTCCTTTCTTAATTTCTCTCTCTCGCCAATTTTTTACACCTTCCCTTCGGCGAGGCTGGCTTTTTCAGATTTGGCTCTCAGCTCGGACCTGGGTTGGGAGAGGCTGCGCGTTGTCGTCGCCTTCTGGGAAATGGCATACTTCTGGAATTGTTCCACCTTCCTTGGGTTTCTCTAGCAGCCAGCCATTTTATTTCAGCACCAAGGCCTTTGGACAGCTCCTGACGTCAGGGTGATGAAAGAGAGAAAGAGGGGGGGGGGAGAGAGAGAGAGAGAGGAAGACCAAAAAAAAAAAAAAGGAGGCGGATTTATAAAGGACCACCTGATCTGGGCTGAGATTTCACATCTTAAAGGCACCCGTTATAAGAGGCCGCAGTTATGCTGCCGAAACGCCTCTACGTTAACCAGGCAGATCTCCACACGCTTCCTGGTATGTCCCACGGAGGACCTTACGCTCTTCAAACAAAAACATCTTGGAGGCCCCGGGCCACAGAGAGGTTAGTCTGGCCTCAACTAGAGCCAGGGCTTTTTCGGCTGTGGCTCCGATCTGGTGGAACGCTCTGTCCCAAGAGACTAGGGCCCTGCGGGACTTGACATCTTTCCGCAGGGCCTGCAGGACAGAGCTGTTCCACCAGGCCTTTGGCCAGGGCACAGCCTGACCCCCTCCCTCGGCAATCTTCGCGGAGCTCTGGCCCAATGGTTGCCAGTGGCTTGAATTAATTTTATAATGAATGATTTTAGAGTGTTGGTTATGCTGTACTTTTGTACTGTTTTATTGTTGTTAGCCGCCCTGAGCCCGGCTTCGGCTGGGGAGGGCGGGATATAAATAAAATTTATTATTATTATTATTATTATTATTATTATTATTATTATTATTATTATTATTATTCCGAAATTCTGTCACTCAGAGTTACATAAGGAGGAAGCCCTGTGTTTGGGCGAGGCCGAAGGAGACCCACTTTTGCCCCCTACAACGGTCAAGCGGGTACCCCAATGAGAAACTGAGTGCAAACCGGTTTCTGATTCATGATGCCGGACAAAGGGCTTTCAGGAACCAAAGACCCATCTGGCCATAGAATCCTAGAGTCTGAAGGTTCATCTAAGGTTCATGTGGTCCAACTTCTTTCAGTGCTCGGACCTGCAACCTTGGCACTATCAGCACCGTGCTCTAATCAGATGAGCTCTAGCACCCTCTTATCCCAGACAAGAGATATGGGGAACCCCGGTGGCTTCGAACCTAGCATTTCGAAAGCACACCAGCGCAAGTAGATAAATAGGTACTGCTGCAGCGGGAAGATAAATGGCGTTTCCGTGTGCTCTAGTTTCCATCATGAGCCAGAAGCGGTTTAGTCCTGCTGGCCACATGACCTGGAAAGCTGTGGACAAACGCCGGCTCCCTCAGCCTGAAAGCGAGATGAGTGCCGCAACCCCATAGTCGCCTTTGACTGGACTTAACCGTCCAGGGGTCCGTTACCTTTTACCTGTTTACAACCCTAATTTGGGGGACTTGTGTCAGCTCACATGCCCTCAAGTGACCCACCTCCCTCCCCTGCCCAGAATCCAACCATATCAGCAGGCAGGGTTACGGGTATTAAAAACTCTCTTCGACCTATGGCAGGGCAGGAAAGGCATGCACAATTTCCAAGCACAATTCAAAGTGTTGGTGCTGACCTTGAAAGCCCTAAATGGCCCAGTATACCTGAAGGAACGTCTCCACCCCCATCATCCAGCCTGGACACTGAGGTCCAGCTCTGAGGGCCTTCTGGCGGTTCCCTCCCTGAGAGAAGTGAAGTTACAGGGAAGCAGGCAGAGGGCCTTCTCGGTGGTGGCGCCCGCCCTGTGGAACGCCCTCCCGTCAGATGTCAAGGAAATAAATTATCTGACTTTCTCCGCTATGCTAAGCAGTTGGTCCCTTACCTTTCTCATCCTGATCTCGCCACTGTGGTCCATGCGATGGCCACCTCCAGGCTTGATTATTGTAACTCCCTCTATGTGGGGCTATAGGGACGCGGGCGGCGCTGTGGGTTAAACCACAGAGCCTAGGAATTGCCGATCAGAAGGTTGATGGTTCGAATCCCCACGACGGGGTGAGCTCCCATTGTGCGGTCCCAGCTCCTGCCAACCTAGCAGTTCGAAAGCACAAAGTGCAAGTAGATCAATAGGTACCACTCCAGCGGAAAGGTAAACGGCGTTTCCGTGTGCTGCTCTGGTTCGCCAGAAGCGGCTCAGTCCTGCTGGCCACATGACCCGGAAGCTGCATGCCGGCTCCCTCGGCCAATAAAGCGAGATGAGCGCTGCAACCCCAGAGTCGGTCACAACTGGACCTAATGGTCAGGGGTCCCTTTACCTTTACCTATGTGGGGCTGCCCTTGGAACTGTTCCACCAAGGGCAGGGTTCTTTCCAGATCTGGAGACAATACACACACCAGTGGACAAATAATAATAATTATTATTTATACCCCGCCCATTTGGCTGGGCTTCCCCAGCCACTCTGGGCGGCTTCCAACAAAATATTGAAATACAGTAATGCATCAAACATTAAAAGCTTCGCTAAACAGGGCTGCCTTCAGATGTCTTCTAAAAGTCTGGTAGTTGCGGTTCTCTTTGACATCTGGTGGGAGGGCGTTCCACAGGGCAGGTGCCACCACCAAGAAGGCCCTCTGCCTGCTTCCCTGTAACTTGGCTTCTCGCAGGGAGGGAACCGGAAAGTAGCAGGCATACAAAATGGAAATTATAGCACACCAGACAGAAGTCACACACAAACTCCCCTTTAGCTGCCTGGAGCTCTAAGTAGAGCAGTGAGAGAGACCCCAGCCGACAGTCTCACAGCAACTGGTACCTTAACCTGTGGAGAAGCCATAGCTGTCAGCTTACAGATTTGGAAATAAGGGACCAGCAGCCTCGAAAATAAGGGATCAGCAGCCAAAATAAGGGATTTTCCGGACACAGGTATGTTCAACTTCTGAGCCCCTCCGAGCCGAAGGCAGGAAGCCCAGCCAGCAGCCAAACGATGCCTCATCAATAAGGGACAGCAGCGGGACATGGTGCTGGGAGAAGGGACTGTCCCGCCAAATAAGGGACGGTTGACAGCTATGGGAGAAGCTCTCTGAAGTCCTTCAACCTACAGCTTTTATAGCCAACTTTGATTGACTCGATTGACTGCACCTGATTAGCAGGCGTCACTCATCATCAGCCCGGGACACTGGGTGTGATTCAACAGGAATGCGGAGCAGCTGAGAGTCTCCAACCCAATTCACTCACCTGGGTACCCTCCCCACTAGCCAATCAGTGCTTAGAGCACAGGAAACTCCTGACACAGGTGTGTGGGAATCACGTTATGCCAGCATAAATCTGCAAACTTTAAACCGGGGATATAAAGGAAAGAGACATGTCATCGGTAGGGAAACAAAGGCCTGGGGGCTGGATCCGGCCCAATCGCCTTCTCAATCCGGCCCATAGATGGTCTAGGAATCAGCGTGTTTTTACGTGAGTAGAATGTGTCCTTTTATTTAAAATGCATCTCTGGGTTATTTGTGGGGCATAGGAATTCGTTCATCCTCCCCCTTCCAAAATATAGTCTGGCCCCCACAAGGTCTGAGGGACAGTGGACCGGCCCCCTGCTGAAAAAGTTTGCTGACCCCGATCTAACTCCTCTAAATTACAATGGTCTTCTGCCTAATGATGCCTAATGATCATCTTCCTAAGCGACTCCTCTATTCCGAACTTAAAAATGGAAAGCGTAATGCTGGTGGTCAACAAAAGAGGTTCAAAGACTCTCTCAAGGCAAATCTTAAAAAATCTAGTTATAAACACTGGCAACTGGGAAACACTGGCCTGTGAGGGCTCCAGTTGGAGAACAGCCTTTCCCAAAGGTGTTGTGGGCTTTGAAGACACTCGAACTCAGGACGAGAGGGAGAAACGTGCTAAGAGGAAGGCATGCTTGGCAAACCCTCACCGGGATCAACTCCCGCCCAGAAACCTATGTCCCCACTGTGGAAGGACGTGTGGATCCAGAATTGGCCTCCCCAGTCACTTATGGACTCATTGTTAAAACCCTGTTTTGGAAGACAATCTTACTCGGCTAAGAGGGATCGCAGAAGAAGAAGAAGAAGAGGAAGAAGAAGGGGAAGGGGAAGAAGAAGAAGAGGAGGAGGAGGAGGAAGAGGAAGAAGAGGAGGAAGACGACATTCTCCCACCCACTACCCACCCACCCCCCGTCTTGAAAGAGGTGCCGATGTGCTTCTTTTACTCCAGATTTCCCAAGGCGTCTCTGAACACCCAGGGCAATCGTTGCCAGGTTGGCTGAAGATTGAAGGGTCCGTGTGGTTATCTGCAATTACAACGGGCAGGAAAATAACACAGTGTGGCTGGGAGAAGGGGGGGGGAGTCGCCACCTCCCACCTCGTGCGAAGGGTACAGGGGGTGGCGGGTTAGGAACAGGAGGGCACCCAAAGAGCTCTGCCGCGGCCTGTGCCGGGTTTATGTATAAGCTAAACAAGCTATAGCTTAGGGCCCCACTCTCTTGGGGACCCCCCAAAAAAATTAAAGGGGGGGTGGAAAACTGGATGTACATTTCCAAAATATAAGATAATAAACAAATGAAATAAAACCTACATACAGCAACTGTGTTTTGTGTTGTGTAGGTTCCTTTGATGTAAGTCACGGGCCCCGCCTGCTCCCTAAAATATCCCTGGTTTGCTCCTTTCTATATAGAGGGTGCCTACATTCTGCAAGGACTGGTTGCACGGCAACATGGGCAAATGGCTTGAGATACCTATGAGGTCCACAAATTACCATATAGCATATATTCAACACACAAAAAACCAGCGATAATTTGAGTATCCCTCTTTGCCTTCTGGAACAGCATCCCCCCTCCAAAAAGTTCAACAATCTCCTCTCATGGGTTGCTTGCTCCATCTTCCATGGGATTTGTTGTTTAGTCGTTTAGTCGTGTCCGCCTCTTCGTGACCCCCTGGACCAGAGCATGCCAGGCCCTCCTGTCTTCCACTGCCTCCCCCAGTTTGGTCAAACTCATGCTGGTAGCTTTGAGAACACTGTCCAACCATCTCGTCCTCCGTCGTCCCCTTCTCCTTGTGCCCTCCATCTTCCCCAACATCAGGGTCTTTTCCTTTTTTTTATAATAATATTTATTAGTTTTCCAACAAATTAAACACAACACTCCAAAAAACCAAAAAAGGAAAAAAAAACATACAATAATAATAACCAAAAAAAGAAAAA